GTTCCGACTGTCCCTGTGAGGGGCAAAGCAGCAAGCCGCTCGAGATGCTGTAAATCCCAGCTCCCGGTGCGGATGGAGAGATTGGGCCTGGAGGGGCGCAGGGGGCAGAACTGCTTCCTCGTAGCCTTAGTGCTGTGCGGGGTGCTGCAGTCCGTGGGTCTCGTCCTGGGTTTGCGCCTACCCCCACCGTGGCTGGAGCTGGGCCAGGTCTGCGGGGGCTCGTGTTAACTCTTTAGTGGCCACTGCAATGCCTTTGGTGGTGGACTGAAGGCCCAGTGGCACCTCTGGTCTCAGACTGTACCCTTGCGGGTGTCACCCTGAAACCCCCGACGGCAGCAGCACAGCAGGGCCGTCTGTCACTTTCCTGCCTCCACTGCTTGGTGGAGAGTTCAGAGCCCGAGTCTTACACCCAGCTCGGCACAGGCTCCCTTGCCGTGTGGCCCGGAACAGCTCCCGTCTCTGCCTCAGTTTCCTCCGTTGAGCGGAGATAAAACGCTGTGGGTGGTGAGATTTTGGTTTTAGCCAGCGACTAACGTGAGGGCGTGCTCGCCCTCTCGCTCACTCTCTCACGTACGTACTCCCACTTCGTGTTTACTCATCTCGGGGCAATCAGGTTGGAAATGAAGATCATCAAGGGCTCCAGTGGCACTCCGAAGCTCAGCTACACAGGCCGGGATGACCGGCACTTTGTGCCCACGGGCCTCTACATCGTCAGGACGGTGAATGGTAGGTGATGAGGGATGGTTCCCTGCCCTTTCCCGCGGCCGGGATGCCTGGCCCAGAGCCAAAAGCTGCCTGCCGAGGGGCAGAGCGGCCAGCCTGGCATTTCTTGGAGGTGTATTTTGGAGGGGTGGGGACTGTGTTTCCCCCTGGTTGGGGCTGGGGAGAGAGGAGCCCAATTGGTCTGTGCACAGATGGTGTCCTCATGGCAGGAAAAGGGTCTTCTCAGGGGGGCAGCAGCAGTTCCAGAGTCAAGCTTGGCCATTTCTTCCTTGGTCCCGTCCCTTTTTCCTCAGTGCCCTCTGGTTAACAGAGCCCTTGCTTTGCCGGGCTCCCAGAGTTGTCACCCTGGTGGCAGGTTGGCAGGACTGGGGTGGGGTTGCTGAGAAGTAATTATCTTAGTTGTCCTCCTTGAGCCTCTTTGGGCTGGTGATCGAGGTTGCATCCTCACAGGCTTTTTGGGAGAGGGGAATGGAAGAGCAGGAGTGCAGGAAGACACACCCCTATGTTGGTCTGCCCCTGTCCCCCATGAATGATGGATATCCTTTATGACCTGTCCCTCTTCTTTCTGTCAGAGCCGTGGACTATGGGATTCAGCAAAAACTTCAAGAGGAAGTTCTTCTACAACAAGAAAACCAAGATCTCTACCTTTGACCTCCCTGCAGACTCCATTGCCCCATTTCAGTAAGTGGCCCTCCTCCGTGCCTCCCCCCTCTGCAGCATCAGGTGCTCCTGCCAGGATACCAGCCTTCTTGGGGCACACCCCAAGTCCCGAGAAAGATGGCTGCCCAAGCAGGGGCTCCCCTGAGCATGGGCCGGGCTCCTCCCAAGGGTGGGGATGTGGCCCCCTTCTGGGTGGAGTCCCAGTGAGAGGCAAGGGATGCCAGGACCTGCTCTGATGGTTGGCGATCCTCAGTGGGCAGGGCCTCATCCAGGCAGCAGAGGAGCAGCCACTGCTTACGTGACTTTCCGGTACTGGCCTGACGGTGGGAACATACTGAGGGCCTGCAGCCCTGCCCCTTGGGACTCAAGGTCCTTGTCATTCCTCATGAGGACCCAGGGTCCATTTGCCAGATTGTTAGTCCTAGGTTTTGACAGTAGCCAGCAGCTCTAATGTGCCTATAATTAGCCACTGACACTAGTTTCTGTCGCCACACTAACACTGTTTTACTAAAGCAGCACAGACAGATAAACCAGGAATATCAGTAATTGTAGAAATCCAGTTGGACACAATTAGCAGCAACAGCTCTTTGTTGGGAAAAGCTGGTTCCGGAAGTCAGGAAAGAGGAGCTGGGGCCTACTGGGTACCTTTTGGCCGCCAGAGGGAAGACCCTCACCTGGAGTCAAATGCTCCCCCCCTCCAACACCCCCACACGACCCGACTCTGAAGAACCAACCCTCTAAATCACGGTCGCCGGGGCTGGGGTGGTGATCTCTTGGTCCTGCTCCACCTGGGTACAGCCCTCTGACCTCCTTTCTCTTCCTTCTCCCCAGCATCTGCTACTATGGCAGGCTCTTCTGGGAGTGGGGGGATGGCATCCGTGTGCATGACTCCCAGAAGCCCCAGGACCCAGACAAGCTGTCCAAGGAAGATGTCCTCTCGTTCATCCAGACACACAGCGCCTGAGGGCGTGGGGATGCCCACCCCTGCCGAATGACCTGTCGTTCTCTGAGTCAGGGCGCTCTGCCTGGGGCTCACAGTACTGGTTTTTTCCCCTTCAAGGAGAGGGACTGGGGAGCGCAGTCACTGCAGCCTGGCCATAGGGGTGGGTGGTCTCTCCCTTCTCCCTGAAGAACTCAGTCAGGGGCCTTCAGAGGACTCTCACCTTCCTTCTGGGACACCTTTTGAACTTCCCTCCCCGGAGACCTGCCTGCCAGGGCTCAGCCTGAGGATGTTGCTCCTACAGTGGTTTGAGGTCAGGGCCCAGGGAGCGTGCGGCCAGTGGAGGACGTGTCAGAGAACAGCAGGGCCTTGGCTCTGCCCTTCTCTCTTGTATCCTGTAGACTCACTTTTCTGAGTTCCGTGCACTGCCCCGAGGGCGGCCATGCTCCTGCGCTGCCCAGCTTTTTATTGGGCCGACCCTAAGTGGGTGTAGGCCAGGGGCAGCTGCTGTACAAATCAAGGTTTTGTTTCTTTGAACTTGCTCTGTTTTGATGTCAAGTTGGAGAAGATTTTGTCTGCTGCCCTGACCCCTGTCCTGGTCTTCCCTGGAGTTCTTCTCAGCCGGACCTCTGACAGTCCCGCAGGCCGGGAAGGGAGGCATGTGGGCCACACATCCCTGACACTGCACCATGACACAGGTAGTGTCTTGGCAGTGGGTGTGACTGCCTCCTGGGGTTGTAGAGCCTTCCTGGGCCCCATCCCCTTTTGATCCGAACCTTGGGCAGCTCTAGAGGAGGAAGCAGCCTTGAAGACCTGCCTTTTTCTATGCCCCAGAGCAGTGGCCCCCTGGCGACACAGGGTACCTCTGGGGTTGGGTCACACCTGGGCCTTTGGCAATCATGGCTCCCCCGTTTGCCACAGCGACCTTGCTAACCCCTCCCTTCGTTTTTCTTGCCCAATAGGAAGTACAGTCACTTTGTTTGTCCTTCTGTGGTCACTCCATTTCCTCTGTCTTGGCAGAGGGGGAAGAGGGGAAGCTGGGCAGTAGCTCTGGGTGGGGGAGGGCAGCTGTGGTGGTTTTTAATGGGAAATACCTCTCAGAGATGCTCCTAGGGGCTCCCTAGAGCCCCATCCCAGTGCTGGGCTGGTTTCCATGGAGATCGGGCACTGAGACTCCCTGTGAGGTTGGAACTGTACCTGGGGGGAGGGTCTCCAGCCAGCATCCAGCCCCTCCCTCCCCCCAGGTTGGCGGCAGCACCGCTGAGAAAGCTGTATTTCCACCCACTTCTGGGTATATCAGTGTGTCTTGCAGAATCTTGGATCATTAAAGATAAACATATTTTTAATGCCTGTGTGGCTCTGTGCTGGGGCTATTGCTATTTGTCCTTGGTGCTGTGTGGCCTGGGATTGGCTTGGATGAAACCGCTTGGGCTGGAGAAGTGGGGGAAGCTGTGCTTAAGAAGAGGGGGGAAAGCAGGTTGGTTTACTCAGAACCTGTGCAAGTTCCTGGGCCCCGCAGGCCCTGCTGCTTGCTTCCGGAGAGGGGCCCTGGAAGAGTCCAGAAATTACGCAGCTCCTGTTGGAAGCAGGGACTGGAGAATGAATGAACCTACAGTCCAGTGGGGCAGAGAGGCACCTTCCCCCCTCCACATAAATCACACGGCTCACTCCATGGTGGCACTGTGACAATCCAGGATCAGTCTGTGACTAAAATAACAGAGGCGTCAGACCAATTAGTGTCATTAGACCGCAGGAAGAGAGGGAGGGAGAGATGGTTTCACTGACCCCTGGCAGCCTCCCCTCCGTCTGGGTCTGCACGGGGGGTGCTGGGGGGCTGGGCTCAGGGTGAGGCGTGCAGGTGCCAATGGCACGTCCCTCTCGGCTCAGGGCTGGAGCTTCTCCACCAGTTCCGCAGCTCTGGCGCTGGCCTCCCACAGCCTGCCTCCGCTTGGCTCCTTCCTTTGCCCTGGCCCCAAGCGTCCTTCCTTGATGTCTCACAGCCTTAGCTTCCGGGGTAACGCCTTTCCTCATTTTCACTTTCTTAATTGGTATAGTCTCCATGCCAAGCCCTACTGTGCTCTGCCTTGCTCCAGCCTCCCACTCCTGACCCTCCTGGTCCCGGTGCTGGGAGCAGAGTTGGTGGGAGGGTACGTGTTTGCTGCTCTGGGCCCCCGCTCCGGTCGGCCCTGCCCCTACGGCTTCTCCCAGCGAGCCCTGCCTGATTTACTGGCCACTGTCACCGTAAGTCTGTCTGGTCATTGCCATGGTTCTTGCTGCCCACTCCCTCTGCCAGGCCTCACCAGCCCTGTTTGCCTCTTGAAGATGGATTAACTCTGTGCTCCCGTGGGACCTCCACGTGACCACTTCAAGTCCCCAGTCACCCTCTGTGCGCAGGCTGCATTTTTTCTGCCATAATTAACAGACAGTGGTACTGATTGGAGGGCAAGACAGCGTGTTTGGGGGGCGGTGGACAGGTGGTGCCATGCCTAAGCCCTGGAAATGGCTCCCAGAATAGTTTTGGCTTTAAAAATGCTTTCTGTTGTCTTAAGCTGGGGACTCACCTTCGCAGTGCCCTGTCCCCCATCCTGAGTTCTAAGCCAAGCATTTCCCCTTGAACATCTTCCTTGATTCCTGAGTGCCACCCCCACTGCCCTCCAGCGGCAGTCAGACCATGACATTTACTCAGCAGACGGGAGCAGCCTGGCTGTTCTTTATTGCCTTTCCCTTGGGCTGAGGGAGGAACCAGCACACAGTCCTTCTGGAGACCCAGGCCCCACAGCAGAACCAGGAGGCGAGAGGGGCTGGGCTGACAGGAGGCCCTGCTCCAGTGTCTGGGTTGGGGAGAAATGCTCCTGTACCTTGGTTGTCTTGAGGCTTATGGCCTGGTTGGTGGTGACCAGGGGGCCAAGGGGAAGCCTGTGCAGACTGGAGAAATCTCAGGCTCACATGGTCCAGTAGGTGTAGATGAGGGTCAGGAGAATGAAGATGGCCACAGACAGCAGCATGTTTTTCCGGTTCTCCTGCCGAAGCAACTTTAGCTCCTTCTCTGGGAGAAAACAGGGTGGTGAATAGGTAGTTGGGGCCCATCTGCTACTCTCCTCTGCCTCGCCTCTCTGGCAAATGGGTGTACATGCTGTTGAGAGCAGAGGTGTTCCCGCCCAGCTTCTCTACTTCCTTATCCACAAAAATGACTGTCCTCCTTGATCTGCCCAGATTCTCACCACCTTTTGGCTACAGATCCTGGCCCAAAGGAATCCCATCACCCAATGCTGCTCAACCATTTTTCTTCAAACGCAGTGGAAGTTGAGGATGGAGTTTGTGAGGGGGTCATCAAAAAGGCCACACCTGATAGCCAAGCTAGGTGTTGGCATGGCATCACCAGGTGAGTCCTCTGGCCTGTCACTGCCGGTGGGGGGTGGGCGTGGGGTGCTTCATGGTACTCATCCTTGCAGGGGGTCTCATCTGGCCAACTAGAAACTCAGGGCAGCTGGGACTTTTTAGGCCCGACACTGGAGTAGGTACAGGGTGGGGCCACGCCATTGGTGCTTCCGGTCTTGCCCCCTGCTGGACACCCAGCTAAGCAGGAACTAGCGACGCTAGAAGGCAGGGAGTGCCCACAAGGTGGCTGGGCTCACCTCTAGAGAAAGCCAGTCCTATTCTATGGCCACAGGGCATCCATTCATCCCCTTGTGTGACATGCAGGTGGGCGGTACTGCTACCCCTCAGGTAAACTGAGGGCTGGTGCTACGATTGTAAAAATTGCTAGCCTTGAGACAGAACGGATATCCCTTCCCTACTTGTGTGGACGGGCAGGTACCTGTAAATCAGCTCTAGGCAGGCCAGACTGAGACTGGGGCCCAGGTAGAGGTGTGTGTGCACACATGTGCTTACAGTGTTGATTCAAACTCGTCCCTCTGGGACATTCCCCATCATGTGGACTGTTCTGGGGCTGATTCTTAGCAGGTCTGCTGTCTCAGCGGGAGAACAAAACCGAGAAGTCTGAGGAACCTCTGCAGACCATCTTCCTCTCAGGCTGGCTGGGGCAGGGTTGGGGTAGGGCTGGTAGTAGCCGCCCTCCGGCTCTGCCCCCAGCGCCCAGAAGGTGGCAGCATTGCTCCACCCACATAGCCCCTCCTTCACCTCTAGGGTTTTCCTGGAATGGAGTGTGAGGTGGGAGGGGAAAGAGGGGCAGGGGAGGACAGATCTCCCAAGTCTGGGTGGATGTGAGAGTCTCTTCTGGACCTGACTACAACCATTCCCCTTCATCCCACAGAGGAAGAACAGACCCATAGGCCTCTCCATCTCCCCTGGAACAAAGGAACAAACCTGCTCTTCCAGGCTTACAGTGGGTTCCTATAGTCTTGGCAGAGGAGTAGCAGGGGGCAGAGGAGTTGGGGGGGGCAGAGGGGGTGGGAGTGGGTTGTGGGGTGGGGGGGCGGCTCCCTCCCAAAGAACCCTCTTGATCCCCATGACCTGGTGGGCTCCCTGGGCTGTCTGTCCCCTCCTGACCCTGGGACTGGAGGATGGGGCTGGTAAAGGAAGGGAACTTTCTTACCGTAGTTGGAGGCTTTGCTCATCAGGTGGTTTTTCTCCTTCTCCAGAGACTTCCTGTGAGGGGAGAAGGAGTATTATGGCTCAAGCCCTTTTCCGTCCTGAGGGGCAGCTGACACACGGGGGCAAGATGGACGAGGGGAACAAGGGATCTCCCGTGGCAAGGGGTAGGGTGATGGAAGCTCAGGGCCAGGGCCCCAGGATAAATATGAGGGGCTGGAGGAAGGCGGGAGTCCTGGGCAGACACATTACCTGGCCTCTGGGCTCAGCTCCGCCCCATAGAGCCTGGAGTTTACAGCCTCCAGGTCTCTGCGACACTGCGACAGCTTCTCCTCCAGCCCATCGATCTGAAACATATGGCACAGCCGGCAGATAAAGATGGGTGACAGAGCCTTAAAACTTCCAAAACAGTTGGGATCCTGGGATGGGGAGGAAGGAGCCTCTAGGAGTCTTCTTGGACAGCGCCCTGCCTCCCCTGGCCCTGGCCCCCCAGCCGCTTTGTTTCGCACAGTGGAAACAGCTCACTCAGCGGCCCCACCCCTCTGGACCAAGCCTGGGTTGGGGACAGACAGGAGCAGTCCCTCAGGCAGCCCTGTCTCCCCAGCACACGCCCCAGCTGCGCCGGCTACACAGGCCTAGCCTAGGATGCAATGAGGGGCTGCCTTTCCTCAGCGCTCCACACACGTGGGGGATGGGGGGATTAGACGTCTAGGGGACAAAAAGCAGAGGTATTTTTTGCATTGACACACTTCTTAAGGTAGTCTTAAGTTGCTAAATGTATTTTCCCATGAGAATCAATAAAAATCACTGAGTGTAAAAAAACAAACAAACCACAGCTCAAAAGCTTCTTTCTTTCTGACTTGGTTCTTGTGCAAAAACATTATCAAGGCAGCTGTAACTTGTAGGGCAAAATAGCTAAGCTCCTCAAAGGCTGGCTGCCAAAGGTATCAGTTTTCCCATTTGTTTTGATTATAGTTTCAGAGCTGTGTTCTTGGGCAAACAACATGAGTTGTGGGAAAATATTTTGTAAAATACTGGACTGGATCGTCCAAACCTGGTTCCTGGTATCATACATGTGGCTTTGAAAGTTCCTCTGTCTCCAGGTGTCTGTCTCATCGGCCACCTCTCTGGGCCTGAGTCTGTTCCAGTATCTCTGCCCTGTTGGCAGAGCCCAGATTTCGGTGGGTGGGAAGGTTCAGAGGGCCTTGTGTCCCTCATGGCAGCTGAGTGAATAGTGCTTCAGGTCCTGGGGATGCTTGATTCTCCATCTGACTTCACTTACTCTCACCACATCCCTGGGAGGAATAGCAAATATGACCTCTACTTCACAAATGGGAGCCTGGGATCCCCAAAGGGAATGACTTTTCTGAGACAGACTGGAGTACCTCTCTCCTCATTGGCCTCAGCCAGTTCTTTATCCAGTCCCTTCCAGAAAGGCCCCTGTGGAGACGGTAATCAATGATTTCAAGTGGGGATCCCAGAGTCCCAGGCGGCTGTTCTGGGGCCCGTGTCAGGAGAGATGCACTTGAAGCCTTCTGCCCCTCCCTGGCCAGCACCTACCCAGACACTTCTGGGTCGGCCACTGTGCCTTGTCCCATACCTGCCCCAAATGACACACCATCTAGTCCCTTCCCTACAGCCTCAGCTGGCTGCCAACTCCAGGTGCAGAAGCAGGGGCCTGTGGGAGGGAGAAACTGAGGAGCCCTGAGTTGACTGCCTGGTTAATTGTACTGTTTCTCTGCTAACTGGCACCAAAGATAGGACTGTCCTGGGGAACAGCCTCAGCAAGGAGCTGGGGCCTGTGCCTGGGGATAGTAACAGCCTGATGTGATGGTCAGTGGGGTGGGATGAGAAGAGCAGGTGCTTCAGGCCACCACATGGCCCACTTGTCACAGCAGCACGCTCAGCCCAGCCCCTGGGGACCGTGCCACCCCACGGTGTAGAAACCACAGGCAGGGCACCAATTCCACACTAGGTCCCAAAGCTTAATTCTTGAAGTGCTACCTCCTCCACAAGGCCTTCTCTGCTCCCCTCGGCTGGAGAGGTAGCACATCCTCCCCTTGGCAGATGAACCAGGCCTTCTCTCCTAAGGCTGACAGCACACTAGGTCATTCCAGCTAGGAGCGTCCTACCTCACCTTCCTAGACTCTGGGACCCCTAGGGCCTATGGTGTAAACTCGTAGCCCAGGGATCGAGTGTCACCCAGATTGGCCCATTCCACTTGTGTGACTGCCTGGCTCCTAAGGATGCCTGACTTTGTAGCTCCTATCCTAGAATGGTGGCCATCAGTCTCTCCTTTGTGGTCACCGCAAGGCCTGGCCTGCTGCAGTCTGTGTGTGTAGCCATGGAGGGATGACTCAGGTTGGACATGGATGGGGCTGAGGAGCTAGGGACAGATCTAGACCTCACGCAGCAACTCGAGCCTGAAACCCTCCCTTAGTGCCCAAACCTCGAAGAAGCTAGAAGGAGAAACAACTATACTTGCACACAGATTATATGCTTTGTGGATAACCCAGTGCAAATCTTTAGTCCTAGGTTAGATTTTTTCCTGCAGCCCCTTGGGCCAAGTCCTAGTTCACATGTCATTCTGGGGAGAAGCAGCTTGGGGATTTCCATCCCTAAACACCTCTGGAAGGCTACCAGGTGCCCAGACAAGTGGTAATTGGCCCAGAACAAGGCTGGGAACTCATGCTAAGCAAAATCTTTAAATTGAGGTTGGCAAACCACAAGTGGCCAAGCCAATCTGCCTTCGTGCTCTGGGCAGGGCCTGCGGAGCGGGCAGTCGGAGGCCTTTATCTGAACAAGCCCAATTTATCTGCAGTTCCACTGAATATCCCCACTTTCATTTACCACTTTTTAATGAGGCTTAAACGGACGAACACAAATCAAGGTTTTAGGGACTCAAGTTCTAACCTCCCTCTATGAATATTTATGTCCTGCTGACAGCTCTCTCTCATTCCCTTCTAAATAGCAAGTTCCCCTTTTTGTAACCCAGCTGCTTGATGTGGGCTGAGTGAGGGGAGGCTGAGACTGTCAGGAAGCTCTTCAATAGGCCACAAACCCGTCCTCAGAAGGTGACCCCGCTGGCAGTCAAACACCCTGCAGCAGAAGCTGGCTCTCGAGCAGCTATAATAATGGGTGCAAAGATTCAGAGTGACCTGGCTGTGGCAGGGAGGGAAGGTCAGGATGCATCTTTTAGTTGTGACTGGGGTCAGGAGTGGTGCCTACAGAGTGGGGCTGGCTCAAGATGGGCCAGAAATGGGGGAGAGGACCCAGAAAGTGGGCCTTAAAGGCAGCCCCTCCGTGGGTTTTCAGTCAACTCTCGATGGCATGCATGTGGATTATGCACTTCGCAGATTCCTCAGTGCAAATCTATAGTCCTTGGGTAGCTTTCTCTCAGCCGCAAGGCTAAAGGCAATAGAGGACAATATAGCCAGGACAGGAGAGAGGGCACAGGGTTAGGACCAGAATAAGAAGACAAATGTCAGGAAGATTCTAAAAACATAGGGTCAGAGCTGGGCAAGCAGTTCGGAGCCCAGTGCCCAGAAGCCTGAAATTGTGGGTCCTGAGAAGTGTGGTAATGAGAGGATGGGCTGTAATCAGGTGCCTCAGCTTGCTGCTCACTTGCCCTCTAAAGGACTTCCTTAATTCTATGCCTCATTTTATTCATGTGTAAAATGAAGTTAATGTTTCGTATTTCAAAAAGTTGTGAGGATGCTATGAGGCGATATGTGTAAGGTGCTTAGAACAGTGCTGAACACACTCATAGTAATTATGAGTTAAATAAGTGTGTGCTGTCATTATTAGCAAAGGATGGTTTTCACTGGTTCTTTGGGGAACAGAGAGAAAAGTGAGTTAATGTGAGGTTCGAGTAAGAGGAGGAGACAGAAGTGGGGGTGTGTGATGGAGAGGAATCGCCACTCATCACTGGCCGGCAGCAGCAAGGAGAGACCATCTAGCTGGGATACGGCCATCCTGAGTCTATGGAGGGGTTCAGCAGTGGGGTTGGGGGGGTAGGGGGCCCGCAGGGTAGCCTATCAGAACAGCACTGCCTCTGAAGTTAGCTGGCTCAGAACACAGCATGCTGGGAACCTCATGTTCCTGCCTGGGGATGAAGCTGGGCCGGGCTCGGCTCCGGAGCCAGCACCAACTTGCTGAGGCTGCGCCTGGTGGCACCCAACGATGAGGTCCGGAGCAGTGTCTAAGGGCAGACAGACTCAGTGCAGTCTGCGTGTGAATGGGCATCTGAGGAGACACGGAATGGCAGGTGGGGCCTGGCAGATGGAGACCATGTTTACCCACACCGTGGCTCTGCAGGGAGCAGGAATGTGAAGCCCCAGGACTAAGGCAGAAAGAGGCCCCACCAAAGAGACTAGACCAACTCTAGCAGGAAGAGAAGGTTACACTCTGGAGGCCACAGAGGCTCCCAGGACTCCTGCCCAACAGGCTGGATACAGGGTCAACAGGCAGAAGAGTGTGGCTGGCCCAAGAGTGGCTCAGGTGCGGAGACTTTCCTGGAGCCATCGGGGGCAGCACTGCCGGCCGGGACCATCCGCGGCAAAGCGCTAACAACCGGGGTGGGGACTGAGCCGAGGCACTCATTCAGGCACAGTGTGGGAGCGAGAGTGGCTACCCCCAATGTGAAGTTACAGTACAACATATCCGCGCATTACATGTGTATTCAGGAGACCAAGTGTCCCGTTTTTATACAGGGACAAAGGACACCGCATCTCTTGGAGACGATGGTGAGCAGGTGAAGCATGGCTGCAAAGGGACACAAGAAGTCAGAAAGGTGGTGGTGTGAGCTCTCTACCAGTTAGCAAAGTGTGCCTTCTGGCACTTCACACACAGTCGAGGGCTTGGTAGGTGTGAAAACGCACGTGCCGTGGTTCAGGGGACCGAGAGGTAGGTGGTGAGTGTGCAGGGTGTCCTGGTAGGACAGCTGGTTCTTCACCCCGAGCCCAGACCATGGGGACTGCTGGTCTGAGCCCAGAAAGGAAGACGCAGAGTGGGAGGGAAAAAGTATATAAGGCAGAGAGTGGGAAGGAGCTGAAGGTCCCAGAGGAGGCCCTGGATCGGGGATCCAGGAAGTCTGCACTCCATCAGGAAAGGCCCACGAGTGATTCTACCGCACACAGGATGAGACCCGCTGCCCTTCTGCCCCACACACAGACTGGGCAATCAGAGCCTGGAGCCTGGTGGGCGGCTTCGAGAGTGGGCAGAAGAGCAGGCTCAGTGAGAAATTTAGGACCAAGGGTTCTCCACGGGGGAGGGGGGGGGAGGAGGCATTTCCTGCATAAGAATGTGAAGTTCTGAAGTCAGCCCAGCAGGCAGCAGGCAGTCGAGG